AACAACCATCCCATCCCACCCCACTTATCTCAACATTCACGACCACACCTCAACAACCATCCCAACCCACCCCACTTATCTCAACATTCACGACCGCACCTCAACAATCATCCCACCCCATCCCACCCCACCCCACTTATCTCAACATTCACCCTCAAACAAAGACTTGATAATCACTATGTAAAATAATCAATTTCAATAATGTCTTAAATTTACTTAATGAAGTGGTATGAATAAGTCCCTACTATGTTTTTCCATTGTTTATCTCAAGACAGTTGATTCATGCCTGTTTTACCATCCTATTAGGACGATAAAAGAGTCATTTATGACTTGATTGGCAAGAAAGTCTGTATGGGCGACCATAAGGTAAATGTCGTAAATGACATTAATAGATTGGACTTCCTGTGTTGACACAGGGATCCCAACAGTTTTATTCACTGTGTGTGAAGTGACTCCCGTGTCTTACTGCAGACAAATAATCTTACGTTTTTGTTGTTGTTTTTTTCAGCCTGTTTTTCTTGATTTAAGATTAGACACGTCAAAGTCTGGTACGTTAACATTGTATTGTTAATATGTGTTGTGTTTTTGTTGTTGGGTTGCTAAGCGAAGTGGGAAAACGAGTCGTAGCTTAGTTACGATATTAAAAAGATAACAAACTAACTGACGCAGGCAAAAGAACCAACGTCCTGAACGTCAGCAATTTTTTTAAATGTTTTCATGCATCCATTTACGAGAGTTTTATATAAAGAGCTATCATCAACCGGCATTCCATGCGGTCGTGTTTTTGATCTTTCACATAGGGAAAACGAGGTGATTTCAAATATCCATAAGCAATCCGTTTCCGTCCATTGGTCTTAGAAGTGAATCCTACATTATCTCCATTCAAAGAGCCTAAAGCGATAATTAAGAGTTACGATGTATTTTCATTTCAAAACACGCAATGGATGCTCGTTGGTGATTCATTAATATTTTTGTATTTGTGCATTCCACATCATGTCATACGTGCACTAAACGCATTAACGCATCTATGCTGTTCTAAAACCTCGTTTACAGCCCCAGACGCGTTTCAAGGGGAGGACTAGGCCCCTATTTAAAGCCTGTGTAGGTCAGTCATCTAGAAGCTGTAAATATAAATAATTGTTGTAGTAAATATCTGTACACTTCATGTAACACCATTGATGTGGTCTGTCCGCAGCAAAACCATTTGCTGACTTAGTATATGTCTTAATAACGCACACTCAATTTTATATCTTCATGGTAACCATTTGAATGTCATTGGAAGCCATTTCAGTGTTAAAACCAATCAAATGTTGTTGTTTTTAAAAACCATTTAAATGTCATTAGAGGTACTTCATAGATAGAAATATTATTTATGTGTAAAAGCTTCTTTATTTACTAATCTCACTTTTTAAAGTAATTGTAATCAAGCTCTTCACTCTCACCTCAGAGAATCGCTGAGAACACGACCACAGGAAACCCATGCATGCGTCAATGATGATTCATTCTTGTTTCCTGTATATGTAACTCTTCAATTGAACTGATTATTTGTTTCAGGAATAACGCAGAATGGAGTAAGTGATGAATATATCGAATACATCACATGTGTTTAAAAACGAAAAGATTATAATCACCAATGATGGCCGTGTCAAGTGTCTATTATACAGGAATCCCAAATAAACACAGGAAACCCAAAAAACTAAGCTGCACTAATAAATCGACTTACGACGCTACCATATACCGATACGTAGTCATTTTAGAGGCACAGGGAGCCAAGGAACTATGATTATTTTGCTTTATCAGTCACAAAGTGGCTGCGGTGATCGGCATCCAAGTGATCGGGCAATCGTTACATTAATAATTATAATAATAATATTCTATATATATATATTTAATAAAATGTAAAATTATTATGATTTCTGAAGATAATGATTAAAGTTGCGGGTTTAACGAACGGTTGGACTCATTGTTGTAAGTCTGACTTTATTATATATATACTGGTCATCCTTTGCAAAAACAAAGAGCTTGATTAAAAACTAATCAAAAGTGCACTCAATAACGCTGGATATTGTAATTTAGACAATAGAAAACGAAGGAATTAGCTTAATTCAGTAGAATTTAGCACTCTTTAATTAATGATCTATTTCGTACGAACTGCCTTTTGATTCCAAGACCCCCCGACCCTCGGGGGAATACCGGACAAATAACAATTTCAGCAATATCACGGTATATTTCCCGGCTCTTGGAGGCATAAAATATCGACTAAACAGATCATTTTCCTTGTTTGATTTTTGTTTTATATGTTAATGTCCCGCCTCCCCGAGCATTGTTGCTTTTATRATAGATCTAAATCCCCGGCAATAATGTGTTAATTACCGGGCACTCGTGGGTTGAGGAAGAATGATTAATTCTCGCCCTAYAAAAATGCTGATTTGGTTCAACGACGCAGATGCGTTGCCATGAAAACTTTTGCCAATGTTCATGTTAAAAAGCATTAATATGTCATGATTATTATCGCTGTTGGTTGTAGTATTGTGTTTATTTAGTTAGTGAAGCGTATTCATCTATAGAACTAGTAAATTGGAAAAAAAAACTTTCAAGTCAAACAGAAATCATTTCATTTCTGATTTCCATAAAAGTAATTTTCACTGTACAGTGGTGTTGTATATAAGTCAATTATTTACCATGTGAATAAGTATTAATCACTATTATTAATAAAAGCTTAGGGCCTTTTATCAGGCTGAATTTCATAAGATTAAGGGGGTTCTGTATAGATTTATTTTCATGTTGTAGTCCTCAAAAGGTTTTCAAGCTACCTTTTCTTAAATGATGACTTTTTAAACGGTTTTGCGGTTATTACTCGAGCAATTTTAAATGTTTATTTATTATTGAATGTGTTAATTGTCGCGTCGGATAAAGTGCCAAAAGCCTTTTGTATCTCACAGCAAACAAAAATCACCAATKTAAGGAAGCGCACATTTATTAATTATCTCAACAATATCACAAAGAACTATAAATTCTACCATTTAGAATGAAGAGGTCTTTACAGAAACACTTTACTCTTTCGCCTTAATACTATGTTTAACTGACCTTAATTGGACTTTTAATTTGATCAATTAACATGTTTTGTTATTGTAAGTGATATCCTAAGTTTTAAACTATTAATGCAATCTAGGGTGTCGTACTGCTAAATTATGCGATAAAAAGCTGAAAATAGATATCAACTAGCACTTGATAATTGGTTAGTTAAGGGGCCAATTTGCCTTTGATATTTGTTCATTTTAAAGCAAACCACTTGACATTTTATTTTCAAAGTCGTCGATACCATTACCGCGTTCGAGATTTCCTGTGTCACTGATAGCAGGTGCGGTAGGGATACCATTTAATCKCTGCCAAAAAAAATCGTAACTGTATAACACAATATCAGTTTAATAACMCAAGTAGGTTCGATAAGCTTTRATGGATTATCCGTGATTATTGCCTGACCGCGTTTTATTGTCCTATTAGTAATAATCGGGCAATTCGTAGTGATTCATAAGCAATGGCTAATTGTTTAGACAATTCTTTGGCAATAACCCAAAACGATGCGCTTTCTAAAATGATAAACAATTATGCTTTACCATTGACACATCAGCGAGTTATTAAAACAACGAAGTTTTGCGTTAGACGAGGCGAAACATTCCAATAAAATGGCCAACTATAGTATTTGTATAGCTATTTGGACACCATAGTTGAAGTTTTAAGTGCGCTAAGCGTTCCTCGTCTAACATGTAACAATTTTCTCTAAGAAGTTAATCAGGCAAATAGCATTAAACTGGCTTCCTATCAAAAACACCTGTCACGTCTAAGCCAATGAGCATCATGCGTGTTGGTCCATCAAGTCCATTATTCGCTATGGATCGTTTCAAGGCTACTATATCAATTAATACTTGTCAGAGAAATCTGTCAATCATAGGGTTTATGGTTGGTCGAATCTATGTCAGACACATCACCTCCTAAGGTAAACTAAACTTTATTAATGCCAACGAGCTACCAAAACGATACAGAGCGAGCTCGATAGACGTACTGCATCCAGCATGGAACGTAATCACCCGTGTTATACAGTACATCCTTACATTGAACTCAAACCGTTTGGAATCTCGCCGTATCCTTCGCTATCTCCAATGCTAGGTGGGACCAAGGCAGTATTAGCTARCCCAGTACCTAGAGGACACTCTGCAAAGCCCCCAATACCGCATTCAATCGATAACATTCTTAGCAGATCAGAAAACAAATCKCCTCCAAGCTCACCGTCACCCCCAGAAGTACGTCGCCGACCATATTGCATCCCAGGCCGAGGTTATGATTACCGACCWGCMGTGCCTGTTTACTGGCCTGGTCTAGTGCATCCACCGTGGAGGGAGAGGTACTCAGGTAAACCTATTGTAATAGTTTTTTTATTAATCATATTATCAAACTACTAGATAAGAATTACTCCTTTAAATGTTCCATTATAATTAACACAAGCTGTAATTGATTGGTTTGTGTATACCTGTTATAGTGCACAGTGTATGTACTCTATACTCGGGCCGTAATAGTAGCGTACAGTTTAGTGTTACTAGCGTTTATTACTCTAGTCAACTTATCATTTTTGCGTTGTTTGGGGGCGTCATTTTCCTAACTTAGAAAACAAYAATTTGATTATGAATTGACTTTGACACGTAGTTTTGAACGGTTGCCTTGTTGTGGTGTCTTTATTAGCAATCTTTGCAAAACCACAAAACCTCAAATTTAGAAAAACGAAGCAAATGTACAAAAATAWAACAATCCACCAGGATCGTTAGTAAAGCTGCAATAATTTGCTAATTTGTAACGCTATTGGTATCAATAAGGTATTTCTAATGCAAACATTTCTTACAATAACCGATCATAATGTAATCTCTGACAGAAGCTCGCTAACAAGCCTTTTATAAAACTATGTGGCTGGCGTTTCCTAGCATTATGCGAATTTAATAAATGTTTTGCTAGTGGACAATAGTACAGGATATGAAAAAGAGACTATTGTAGGGCGGTTAGCTTTACCCTCTGCTATATAGGTGACCATAAGCATATTTATATGTATAGATATATAACGAAGATTTCAATCTACTTCAAAAAAGGTCAACAACCTATGGACACAAGATAGGCTTCAAAGGGTTTTCTTTCTGCTTGACCGTTTGCTGTTCTACAAAAAGCAGGTCAACATAGGTTAATATGAACACTCCAACATTTCTACGGTAAATTACACGTCTTTACGCAACGAAATTCCAACGAAAAATATTCCTTTTCTTCTTGAAAGTACGCTAATTAAAAAACGCCGGTAAATTTGGATATATAATTATCGAAAAAACCTATATAATTTAGTGATAAAAGCAGTTAATTTCGTGAAAATTTCTAAAGTAAATTTCAAGGTTTACAAGTCTTTCATTGTCTTATGTTTTTATTTCTTTTTCAGCTTCTCCTCCGTCTACAGATACTGACCGACATGGCAAACGCAAGCACACAAGACCGACGTTCAGCGGGCATCAAATCTTCGCGCTTGAAAAGACGTTTGAACAAACAAAGTATCTTGCAGGTCCCGAGCGGGCAAGGTTGGCGTACTCGCTAGGCATGACAGAGAGCCAGGTCAAAGTTTGGTTTCAAAATCGTCGAACAAAATGGCGGAAAAGGCATGCTGCTGAAATGAATATCAAGAAACAAGAAATAGCAAGAGCGGGAAAAGAGAGCGAGGATGATGAAGAGGAATACCCTGCTTCGAATACGCCCTCTGAGAGCACAAAGATAGACTAGAATGATGTTTCAACAACAATTTTTATTTATTTCATTATCAAACATAATGTTGAGACATTTTTAACTTCACCATGGCAGCCAGGACGGCATATTTTCAGCAACGGTTATTATGGGACGCTTGAATTAGAATTCAAGCTGGCCGGGCATTTAAAAAAAATGTATCTATAACATATTAGTAAGTATTGTGTAGTAATTTAAAATTATCACAGCAAAAAAAACGTACAATGAAAATAGGATTCCTTTAGATATTGTTCATGATCGATCCATTGTAAATACTTTGTAAATATACACACAGTGAGACTGGGAAAAGATCTAAAGAGCTTGCCAACATGATAAATTCACTGTTTATCTAATGTCCTACAATGTTATTGCCAAAAAACATATGTAATTAATGACCATATGAGGCTTTTACTGACTGACTGTTAGTCCCAAGTAAATGRCTATCGAGAAATCACCATCGGTTAACAACATGACTATACAACGCACTCTCATCAATACTCATAAAACAAGCCTTGTTTTATTGTATAATTGAGTTTGCAATACGCTTAGAGGTATAATAAAGATTTTTATATGAAAACTCATCAATATTTAACCTGTTTTTACAGGGTACCAGTCGAAAATGAATAGCAATTTTTCGGTATTTTGTTCAAAAGCGTACACTTACAAAACTCAAAAACTGGTATTGTAAAAATCACATAAAATATTTTATGAACTATAGATAAAAAGGTCTTCATAAGGCGATTTGAAAAACTGATAATTCTACAGGTTTTCGCATTGTTATGTCATTCAAAGTTTTATTTTCTGTGCGCAAATCCTGCCTTAGAAATAGTGTTCGTAGCACAGGTATGGGTTCATAGTCAAGTCCATTTTCCGCTCAATATTATTCTCTTCTCATTAATAAGTACATTATCCTGCTACAACACTACTATTAATCTTTATTTGCAATAATTCGTCACTTTTCATAAAACGAAAACCTATTTACACCAAATTAATTTGCAATTTTGCCAAAAATTATCAATTCAGTTCAGATTAYCGYGCGCTTAGTAGCAGATTAGGGTGCATGACAGGGCAATTCTCTCTCTGCCAAAGCTTGTAAAAAGTGTGCCAAACAMGCCGTGGTAGGTATAAGATCATTTCTTATCAATAAACTAGCGCCAGCTTGGGATTGACATATTCTCTTTTTGATATTCTAGACTTTTGTCTTGATAAATGTCAAACCTTATGCCAATTCGGGAGAACAAAACGTCTCCTACACAATTTTCCGAAATTAAGTTCAACAGGGAGTTTTATATTCACTGAGTACATGCCCCCCTAGGCAATGTTTTTTTAACCTCTATTGCCAACTATTAATTAATATCACTAGAGCACTTTATGCAACCTTTGCGTTAGTTAAAATGGTCAATCGTCTTAGATAACAATCGATTGAGAAGTCTATACTTGGAAATGTCCTTCTGTAAGTAGATAGTGAAAATCAATACCTGACTATGTGCTCGCGTTACTTTCATATTGATATACAATATTTTATTATTTTTAAGCTCTTACCTAAAGTGCATTACATGTAATTTYGAAAAACCGCTCGGGAATAAGCGAGTTTTCTGGGTTTCGCTTACTATGCTGTTACGCTATTTCTGGTTGCGTGAAACGAGAGTGTAACTTACAGGAAAAGTTGGAAACGAAACCTATGCAGTAGCTTAAAACGAATAAAACTGAATTAAAATACAAGTATGTAATAAGATAAATAAATAATATGATTACCATATATGATTTTCATCCAAAAATGCATGAAACAAAACTTATGTATTGACAGCCAAAAGTATCACGAATATTGTGAAACACAAACCATTCATTTCCTGAACCAAAACGCTACAGAAACTGATAATACTGGACACAGCATTTTAAAATGTGTTTTTAAGTTGTGTAAAAACTTTACGCCGTTTGATCATGAAATCATCTTAAAATTGTAGTAGTTTAATGAACATCAAGGCACAATATCATGCACTATAATTCTCAATGATAATCGAGTAGATTATATCGCTGCACTTCATACATGTTTTTAGAATCCTTCATATCCATTCGCCCTATAGTTGACGCTGGCAAAATATCATCAGTCGCTGCCTCAAAAAGAATTTTAATTAAAAATATTAGTATTAGGAGGCCGTCCGTTCTTTGTATTTTGATGTAAATACATTACATGTAGCAACAACAAGCTTCTTTACTTGACCTACAAGTTTTCGGGTTATGGTTGGTTATAAAGGGCGCGCAGTCTTTCTTAGAGTTCTTCTGACAAATTCGCACACGAATGGACCAGTAATGCTGTATTTCATTAGTGATTAATAAAGTATTAATGGAGAATTTGGCTGTTAAATGCACATATCGGTTCAAGAGTACTTTTATCAGATAATAAAGACAAAGTTTTAGAGGATAGAATGATATATTTCTATATAAGCACGCACTACCTGTTAAATGTCACCTATCTTGGTCTATCTTAAGGAGCATCTTAACAACTAATCAAACGACCAACAAAATGACTTCAAATGACGGCCATCACATCACTAATAGAGCTATATATGTATGATAGGAACATATCTTGTGGGGTGATGTCTATTGCTTGACATGCCGACTWTTCTATACATGGTRCTATGTTTGCTTTGTCGTGGTCTTTGGGTCGCGTTTTTACTCTGTTTGAATTACTATAAAAGATTGTTTCCGACTTACTTGGACAGGGCCATGTGCTAACAAGCACGTGCTGGTCAAACGTTACGTATCAAAGCTCGTTAGGGTCTTCTTACGGATATATAGTTAAYGGACAAACGTATTTTATGTGCAGAATTTCACTGGCAATTTCAATACTATAAAGGCGCTKGTGTTTCACGAACAAACCATTTTAAAAGCGTTTTAAAAGATTCCAGCCTGTACAATGTACAATTCTAGCAATGTTTTTATATATTTATTGATGCATTGTTTAGAAGTTAATAGGGAACGTTGACAGCCTGTCGATTCAAAGAAACTGATACTAACAAAACAAAAAGAGGTTTAGTACACAAAATGAAGACTAAAAAGGTCACTAAAGCGGTGCAAAGCCATGCAGTCCTTAGCGCGCGCGTAACCATTTACGCAACGTACTGGCCATTTGCGCAGTGTAATCATTTGCGCAGTGTAATCATTTGCGCATACGCATGACCATTTGCGTTATATACGTATAACCATTTGTGTGTACGTATCTGGTATTACAAAGTTAATAACAAAGAGGCATTAAAGGTAGTGATTATTCTCAGTAGCGACTTGCGCATACGTAACCAATTGTGTACATAAATTGCGCGGGAAATAACCGTATCAAACGTATTTTGACGTTAMGGTTTGGTTCAAAAYACTAAAGATCGTGTGTTATCTCATTCCAGCCCTATGGACTCTTTGATTTACACTTGGATTACTAAGCTAATCAAGATTATGAAGCGAGAAAGTTCTTAGATTCTCTTGACGCACTTACGCAACGTAATAATAATATGTCGTGAATATCCTAGACCTCATTGCCATACTGCAGTTACGCATAGAAGAAAATTACGCAAAGCCCTAAAAGAGTTCACGAAATTCATTCGTGTGCTTATTTGAAATTCTAAGAAATTTCCATTACTATGCCTCCGTCATGGCTTACGCAAAAGCTGAGACTTTTACGCAAAGAGTAAAAGAGTTCAACATATCATTAGGTGCATTACTGGGCCTATTTATTACGCCTCCATGTTTACGTAAAGAGCTAGGACAAGAGGTAGTTYATATCACCATTTGTAACTATATGCCTCTTTACGCGTATCAAAAATGACACTTTTTGCTACGTGCACAGGATTTCTAACTATCTATTTCCCTAGTTGCGCCACGTACGAAATATTTCGCAAGAGTTACACAACGACTCAGTTCATGTATAGCTATCAAGAAAGTTTGACTTTGTACGTAAAAACGATCTTATTATAATCACAAGGATTAATCTATCGTCTATTTTTGGCGTTTTATTTCTGAACGTCTTTCTTGCGTACAGGAAACGTCTAAACTACCCGTCAAACCAGAATCAATAAAACCGTAACGTTTATTCTTTTGGTGATCTTATATTAATCACGATTATGAAGAATCGCCGGAAATACTTCCATCGTAGCGAAGCTTATGTCAATCTCGCTTGACTAGTGTAATTCCTTTTGTTCTTTAGAATTCAAAAGCCTTTTTCTCWTGGTATTCATTGATTGATTAGGAAAATCCTTGCAGGAAGAAAAGGCGAGACATTGTAATTTTCTAGTGATAACTAGATGAGATTTCTGTAGGTGTTCACTGGTGTTTATAATGACTATTAAGAGAGCTACTTAAAGCTAAGCAATTTCCTCTCTAAAGTGTTTATATGGTGCTTAATGCTCTATACATAGACGTAAAGCYCATCTAAGCACATCGTTAATGACGAGGGATATAGAGAATTAAATAATCAAGGCTACTTTTAATAGAGTTTAATTGAAAGGCAAGCTTAGTCTGTTGATCGGCTTAATCCCTCGGCATTGTTATCTGGTCTTTGATATTTTCTACAAAGTAAATTCATTTAGCTGTGGATATGTGATTGAGAAATTGGATCTTGTTTGCTTAGGGATATTGTGCGTCAATCAAGTGATCTATAAACTACAAAATCTGTTTCTGGTTGACTGTTACTACAGGCATGATTTCTCGAGACCTTCAAACATGTCCCTAGTGTCCCCATGCTGGCCGCGTGTCTATACAAACAATTCAATAATAGATCAAAACTATGTGATTCTATCTGACGCTGTCCACGATTGTAACCTCCCATCGCAAAAACTACTGCAAGCTTCAAACTTGCATTTCCTTGTATGATTCAAAATAATTTCCTATCTGTGCGGTGTGCGGTCCAGTGTTGAACCAGCCTTCTTTACTTCGCGTATTCATATGATTGTAAAACCATGTGCATTGATTTGCCTGTATCACAATGCGTCAAGGTTACAAGACAAAGTCCAGCACGAGCTGTATGCATATAAACTGAATTAAAGATACGTTGTGTGAGTTCTTAACTAACCATTTCAGTGTGGCAAATCAATAATGTTTTTCAGGAAATATGCGAGCTTAAGAAGATTAAAATCCCACCTAAAAAGGTGATATTTAATTGATAAGAAAGCATTTGAACGATTTTGGGGAGTTATAAGGTTAGAGGTCTGTCTCAATATGATCGAAAAGCTAACACGAACCTTTTTATTCCATTGTTATTGAGCCAGMGTTGGATCAAGTTGTCTTGAAAGTGTTGTTMAACGATTGACATAAGATTTAATGTTGGATTTGTTTGGTCGGTGAATTCAAAGTGTGTTTGTCCCATGGTCTGCATGCAGTAATGATAGACTTCTAGCCAAAGCACATTAATGAGAGCAGGAATCCCGACTCAGAAGAAACTACTGCTAGCGAAAGAATATCATCTTTTTTATACAGAAATTAAGAACAAGACACAAAGATAAGACCTCTGAGAGATTCTAGTGAGAGTAAGAAAAAACCAAAGAAGAAGAAGGAAAAATAATATAAAGAGACACGACTTTTATTGGATTCGAAC